GAGGGAGAGAGAGAGGGAGGGAGAGAGGGGGGATTACAGACAGATAGACAGACAGAAAGACAGAGTGAGTTTTATTCTCAGGTTGTATTGTAAGCTCAGATATTATATTAATTGAAACAGACAAGAGTAAAAAACGAATAAATAAGGGCAACTCAATCTTCACTCTTTTGATGCCAATTCTTTGTCAGAGACGGATGTTTGGCGTGTTTTTTTCAGCAACGAGTTCGTTTATGTTTGGAATAAGGTTCTGTGCTATGAAGATTCTCAGGATGGACTAGATCTACCTAAAACGCCCTCTAAGGCCGGGTATAATTATTTTTGACCAGACCTGATTCAGCCCGTGGGCTTCGAGTTTGACACTGCAGCTTTCAAACTTTTAAAACAACAAGTCAAGTCTTCCAAAGGAAAATCAATTGTCAATTTCTCTTAAAACTGAATTCATAACGAGGTTCTTACGTTCCTACGATCTTACGTCTGCCAATGTTCGAATAAAAACGATACTGAGAATGTTCATACAAGTTATCTATCTGTGTTCACTTTCTTTAAAAAATAGTTTGAATGTATTTTATAAAAGTAGAATAAATGGTGTCACCCTAGATACTACTGTCTCAGGTTTCTTTTGTCAGCGTATAATGTTGTTGTTGTTGTTGTTGTTGTTGTTGTTGTTGTTGTTGTTGTTGTTGTTGTTGTTGTAGTTGTTGTTGGGATGACTGTTGTTGTTCTGGAGTAGGATCTTGTTGTTGTTGTTGTTATTGTTGTTGTTGTTGTTGTAGCTGTTGATGATGGTGGTTGTGGTGGTTATGGTGGCGGTTTTGATGTTGTTGTTGTTGTTGCTGTTGCTCTGGATGAGACTCTTCTTGATGTTACTGTTGTTGTTGTTGTTGTTGTTGTTGTTGTTGTTGTTGTTGTTGAAGGTGGTGCTTGTGGTGGTGGTGGTGGGTTGTTGGTGGTGGTTGTGGTGACATTTGGGTCTTGTAGTTGTTGGTAGGTAGCATTATTGCAGCTGTTTTTGTTGTTTTTATTGTTTTTTAATTGTTTTTGTTGTTGATGATGGTGTTGGTTGCGGTGTTGTTGGTATCATTAATGTAGTTGATGTTGCTGTTGTTGCTGTTGGTGCTGCTGTTGTTGTTGTTAGTGGTGGTCGTGTCGTTATTGTTATTGTTGTTTAAGTTGTTGATGATGATGATGATGATGATGATGATGATGATGATGATGATGATGATGATGATGATGATGATGATGTTGAAGGAAAATAGCTTTGGGAACCGACGAAGGAAAAGAGAAATGATGCCGCCGATTTTACAGATGATGATGATGATGATGATGAAGTAACCACAACAACAACAACAACAACAACAACAACAATAACAACAACAACAACAACAACAATAAAAGCAACAACAGCTACCACTACTACTCCTCGAGGGCACGATTCCAAACAATCGTAACTCAAGATACAACTTTTTGGAAAAAAATATATGTTACAGAACAAAATGACCCCCACTCTGTGTTAAAACGATGTATCTATAGCTTTAATATTAAGGCAGCTATGGCACAGAGTTTTTTAGTCGTATCTTGAGTTTGGCAAAAAAATTGCATCCAAACTGTAGTAAGTCTAGCTACGATACTTTGGTTTCAAATCTCGGTGTCGTATATATCGTAACAATGACATACGACAGTTTGGTTTCCAATTTTCCACCCGAACCGGGCGATTTCTATGTCGTAACTACTACTGTCAGTGTTTCACTCTTGTGTCTGTCCGAATCAATTTTTGCAATAGATTCTGTATCTCAGGAATGAATTCATTTCTTGGATAGTAAAAGTGTGTTGTCAGGTGAATGTGAGTCTTTTGTCGAATATAACAGCGAGGAAACGAGCCTGATCCTGGACGGGAATCCTTTCCCCGTATAGTGTCAAATCCGGCTGCAGTACCGGCAGAAGTGTACTACAACCGTCTTTGATGGAGAATACTTGATTGTTTGCCCGCTTTTCAAGTTGTGCAGCTGCGTTTGCAGCTGCCTTTCCATTGATATTAGTTGAAGATTTTTCGAACGTCAGCATATCAAGAAGTCGTCAACGTATAACGAGCTGTCGATGCTATTTTGGAGGGTTTTTAAGATGGAATCTCTTTTGATTTCAAATGGGAGAGGAAAAAGGATACTCCTCTTGGGCAGTGCCGGATTAAGACCCAGCTGGCCCCAAGGCACACTTCACTGAGTGGCCTGAGAAAGTTAGACACACACACACACACACACACACACACACACACACACACACACACACACACACACACACACACACACACGTGCAAATTCAAAACTACAGACAAGCATGGTCAGTCTGTGCGTATGTCTGTCTGTTATGCAGTCCAAAGTATGACAGTATGGAATATGGACAACATACCAGTAGGATAATGTAACTAAGGTCTCACAACAGAGTAAAATTATGCATTATTATTTTTCTACCTAGATTGCCATTTTGCGTGCTTTTGCAACAGCGAATTCATCAACGACTTTGTTAATGTTGACGTTGTGCAGTAAATCGCTTTCAATTGAAAGAAATGCAAGCATCCCTAGCCTCTGCTGAGACATGGTTGAACGCGTCTTTAATGCGTCTCAATTGC